GAGCGTTCGCTAGCCGCGCTGGGAATCTACCCCCCTCTGACTCTCTGATATACTACTATAAAAGAACTACACAGCTCTCTCATACATCTTGACTAAAAAGAGAAAGTCCCCCAACTGCTCCCCTATGCCCTGACCACCTACTGTTAATTACAATGTTTCATCCCTGCGGTCACAATGGAGGGTGTGCTGAAGTTCCATCTAGGCAGAGATCTTCTTGACCTTTGGAAGGCCCTTCAAGACACATTTAATATAAATAACCTTTTTACATACAATAGGAGTAGGTCGAAACTGGCCCAAGACACTCTCGCCCCATGGTAACTAATGTTCTAACAAAATACATAACGGTGCCATAGGCTACACAAGTGAATCCACAACAAAACACTTAGGTACCATAAACTCATTTTAAAGTTTTTCATGAACTTGTTAGTCACTTTACTTTTGACTTAAAAACCGGTACTGCTAGTTGGAGAAGCTGTTTAAAGTATCCCCTTACGCTCAGCAAGTGAACAGTAGGCTCATCCCTTTAAAATAGATATATTAGGATTCCTTTAAATTTTAGATCCCTATAGAATTATATAAGTATTATTCTTTATTGAGATCCATAAGAACTAATATCTATACTTTGAGATTTTCTTTTAGTAAAAGAAAAGACGGCTGCCGCCGAACATCGGCTGATAATTAACTGTGCTTACTGGAACTGTTTCCTGAAACTGCACTCCTTGAAGTTCCCAAGAACCTGCTTACATCAATCAAAGAATTGTTGAACTGTATCAGTGATGATTAATAGACCTGCCCTTAATCAAATCCTGAATGAAATTTATGATCCCTATTGTTAAAACTTTATGAATTGATAATCAGAAAACGTAGCCCCTCACCCGTTTACTTGGATGTATCACATTTTCAATAAAAAGGCACGATGATTCCCAGCAGTGGTCACTCTACAGAGAGCGATCTCTGGGAGTGTCCAACTAAGGATGTGCATGAAAAAGGCACTGAGGCCTCAGTCTTTCTTTCCAGCGCCGCCTCCAATGAGTCAACCCACCCCCACCGAGCCTGGAGCTTGGCAGAGTCAGCTTCAGGTCGCCAAGCCAAGGACTTTGTGGATTTGGGCAACTGTTTCCAAAACTTTGAAGCCAAAGGTTTTTTAGAATTGAGTCACTTAACCACATGTTTAGAGCTGCATTTCCCTCCTTCCTCTGTTAGGTTATGGCAGGACTTGGGCACCTGGAGTTTTGAGAGGGATGATGACACGGATGTGTCCAAGCAGCCCTTTGCGAGCAGACTTACCCCAGGGTGTGTGCGGGGAGTGACAGGGTGGGGGCCTTCCCTCGGGAGCCTGGTCCTGCCATGTCCTTTCTCCATCTCTCTGTCTTGTCAGGCTTTTGGGCATGCACACATGCACGCTCATGCACATGCCCAGCATTTTTCAGCTGCTAGGGTCAGGGTATGAACTGTGCAGTTGGCACGTGGGACCTCAGCACCCTTACTCCTGTGGTCATGACTAAGTTCTCGCCTAAGAACTAAGGTCGATATTTAAGCTTTCAGAATATTCTAAGAAAGAAAACAATCTCCAGAACAAAAATGACTACGAATGGAGTGGGACTGTGCTCAGAGTCAGAGGCGGGACCGTAATAACTGTGGGCACTTTCTGGGACCAACGCTGACCTGTAACAGATACTGCAGGATGGCCTACTGCCTATCACGTACAGCAGGGCACCCGCGTCGGGACTCAGGACACAGCAAGGCAGGGTCGATCAGCTGGCCGGCGTCTGTCCACCAAGAGTCCTTCAACCTCACACCATGCCTGGGAAAGATACTGTGAGCTGCAGTCTCTACTCAGGACAAAGAAATGCCAACACACTTTCTGGCTCAAGCGCATTAATGCCATTTTTAAAGGGCCACAAGTATATACAGTTACCATCTTGGAATTTGGTACAAAACACCAGGTTTTATTGGTCTATTACACTTATCCCAAACACAGTAATATTATTGTACACTGTATTTTCCTTTCCTAATGTTTAAAACCACTTTCCCCTTCTAAGAGTGTGTGGCATTATTCTTTCAAAGGATGCAATAGAAAATGTTAGTTTCCTGTGTAAAATAAACTTTCCGGGTTTGAACTCTGCTGTCTTAAAACTGTCAGTCATTTCAATGTGACTAATTTTCAATTCTGTGAGGTACAGTTTTTAAGTAACACGTGGATAATCCTTTTACAACTGCTGCTTTAGACCAGTAGGAAGAGAGACATAGTATCTATCATTCTGTATTTTTGAAAATCAGGGTTTTTTTAATCCAAATTAATCTTTTCCCACACACAATTATAATCTGAGCATTTGTATAAATACAAACTATAATTTTTATTCCAACAAGTATTTTCCTTTTTTAAAGAATTATTTTCAGTTAACTTTATGTATTTGAATTTGACCAGAGAGAAAAAGAGAGAGAGAGAGAGAGAGGGAAAGTGAGAAAGTCAGCCACCAAGTTTGGGACTCGAACCACAGTCAGCCATATGGGAGTCCAGCACCCTTAACCACCATGCCACCTGCTGGCCCCAACCAAGTATTTTATTTAGATATACTTTATTCGTACTTCATCACTGCTTAAAGCAACTCCTTTAAAAACACGTATCTTAGGTGACGAGTTCTCTGTTTCTCTCCTTTGGAAGGAAAAAATCATTTAAGATATTCCAGATATTTTACATCTATGACCAGATCTAATCCCATGAAAATCTTGTAAAGTATACATAATCTCCATTTCACAGATGGAAACACTGAGGCTCAGAGTAAATAACCTGCTCGGGATCACATAGCTAATAAAGGGTCTTAGACAAGAACTCGGATTAGCAAAGAGACACGTTCTAGAAAAACGAGCTATTTCCTGAAAACAGGCATCTTGCCTCCTTCCCTGCCATCAACTCAAGACTGTTAGGTTTGTATGCTCCTTAAAACACTCAAATCAGAGACAGGCTTCTGGTTGAAATTCTATTTTGTTTTTCCCAAAAGCTGAAGGGCAGGGCAGAAGACTCAGGTTAAGTCATAGCTGTGAGACGTGTCTGCCCCCACTCCCACCCCCAAATTTTATGCTCCTCTTTAGGGAGAGGCAGATGTCCTGGCTCCACTTTACAATGCTGCAGCCTTTCAAGACTTTCCACAGCAAGAGTATGAAAAGGCTTATGTCTTAATTTTTTATTTAATTTTTTTTTTTTTATAAAAAGCAGGCATAAAATACAATAACATTACTACAAAGATGCAACAAAATTGAAATAAAAAACCAAGGGGGTACGATTTTTGTTCAGCGGGGACAGCTGATCAGACATTTATGATTATCTAACCATGCAGTTCATAACTTATTACAATCCCAAATGAAACTCATTACTGTGTGGCAGGGAATCAAGAAGTGGCCCCCAAGCACGTTGACACTGTCACACAGTGCCTAGCTTCAAAGTGCTTTACGAGTCAGCTGGGGTCTTCCTGACACAGGGAGGAGGACGCGTCGCCCGGGGAAGGAGGTGCCTCAAGTCGCAGCGTCAGCACAACTGGGAAACCTGGGCGGCCTGCTCCCAGCAGGGTGTAAACAGGTTATTAAAGCGTGTTTCTGGGCAATAGCCCCGTGTCTGACCACCAGAATCCTGTAAGAACAGACTAGCAGCAGCAGCAGCAGAATGCAGACTGTGGCTTGGCAACCCAGAGTATTTCCTCCTGAAATCGACAGATCAACCGATGCAAAGTAGGTCCTTCAGGGCCAGCTCTGTTTGATTCTCACGTTAGTTTTAAAGGCACTAACCTTTATTTTAGACTTACTGGTATACTTACCCATTAGTTAGCTAGAGCATTTTAAACTTTAGGTGGATTTTTAAAAAAATCTTTGCTTAAAAATCTAGATAGCATGTTTAAATTAATACTTACAAAAATTCACTATACATTAATTCCAACAGTGATACCGGCACCCGTCCTTCTACTTCTGTCTCGCTATCCCCACAAAAGTAAAAAAAACAAAAAACAAAAAAACAAAAAACCTATGAAAACCCAAATCTTTTCTATTTCTTAGTTCCCAGTAGGAGGTATTTATGGCTCGAAGAGAAGTCAGGTGTACAGAAATAAGCAACTTTTGGTTTTTAATAAATATTTATCTTAGAAACGTTGGGGCCTCGGGAAGAAGAAAAACTGGCACAAAACCTGGCTGTTTCCTACCTAGTGAGTGTTGGGGAGAAAGCCCGCGGCTAGGTGCATTGCTCGGGCGTGTGCGTGCAAGGGGAACGGGGTCGCACACGCCCACCTCGGGTCAGAAGTCTTTATTACAGCGCATTTCCGTGAGTTGGACAAACCACCTCATAAACTCACAGCAAGCCATGTGGTGTGAAGAATCTCCATGGGAGAGACCTCTTCCACCCCTCAGAACACCTCCCCCGATACTTCACATTGCTTCTCTTTACACGGCTGCATCCCCCCATGATTCTCCAGTCTCGAATATATACAGCATTCGAAATTTACACTTCTGTCTTTTCTACTCAAATACTTGTTACTCATGTGTGATCTTGACATTATTTCACCTTAATAAAGTTTATTAAAAATATATAGATATATATATATATACTCTCTCCAATTCAGAATAATAGGATAGAAAATCCCATAGTGTAACAAAATCTTTATATAAAATATTAATTCAGTCTTCCTTTTAACAACTCTAATGAATGGAAATATTTTTTCTATATAAATTTTATATATTTTTCATCTTTAAATCTTACTTAAAAAAAAAAAAAAAAGCTGTCCCCCAAACCCGAACCGTAGGCCAGGCCTGGGAGGGCAACGTGTGCATCTCCAGCCTCTGCACAGACAGCCCGGACGAGCGCAGACTGGATGGTGGAAGAGCAAATTCGGCTTCCATGGCCAAAGGCCACTCTGTAGTTTCCACAATAGAACCTACAATGGGGACTGAATCTTTACACATCTCCACACTGACCCCAGGGCGAGTCCATGAAAATGTCTACTTCCTTCATTGAAATTTCAGATGACGTATTGCAGTATTACAGCGAACTGTATGTGCATGTGCTTAGAGAGCCTGATACAAGACTACTGTCTGTGCTAAGTGGACGCTGACCACTGCTGCATACTGTTGCAGTATAAAAGCTATGCTCAGCCGGGGGAATGAGAACTATAGCAGGAAGGGGCCTAGATAAACTGTAACTTGAACAGCATTTGAAAAAAAAAAATCAATTAGTGCTTCTGCAGCTGCTTCTTCCAAGTCACCAGTTTTTTTAACCCAATACTGAAATATTGCCATACACGGCTGTGTTTGAGAGTCACATTTAGATATTTAAGATGTATCTACAGCATGTCTTAGTTTTCTATTAGGGACAATCATTGAATCTTGAGTGTGAAAATGTAAAAATAGTCACAAATGTTTTTACCAGAAATGAAAACACATCTAGGGTAACCAGCAGATCCACAGCAAAGAACACCTTGCACAGTTGCGGACTGATACTGAGGGTCTGGGGAAGGGGTGGGTGAACAAGAGGCCTACGTCAAAGACATGTTAGTTCCAATACTATCCATTATTGTTTCTATGACCAATACTTAGGAAGAAAATTTTGTTATACAATCAAAATAGGCTGACACTGATGTAATGATTATGTGTAAAAATAGTGCAGTATTTTTCTTTCACAAAGCAAGTTTGCATCCTAATAGCTGATAAACACTTTTTTTTTTTTAAATACAGAAAAGGGCCAAGACTTTGAGGAAAAAAAAAATTAAATTAAGGCATTCAAAATAGGTAAAGTTGCCTATCATGAAGCATTAGGAAACAGAATTAATTTCAAACTCCCCATTACAGTAACTGCTTACACGTGAACATGCAGCTCCCACGAGGTGCACATGAACAAGTGATTTGAAACTCCAACAGTATGGCTTTATACAAGTGCATAGTTGCAACTGCAGTAAGTAATGATATCTGATTAATGAGTATAAAAAAATAGAGTGGGGAGTTAAAAAACCCTCTTGCAGTATTTACAGTACTGTGTGTGTGTGTGTGCGCGCATGTGCGGGCACACAGTAACGGCCACTTCTTCAGGACGCAGTGTCACTGCAGTGGGATCCATCCCCAGGTTCTTCGGGAGAATGTGCTGGTGAACCCTCTGTGGGAGCTGAACCACGAGCTCCTTCGACGTCAACCCTCTCCGTCCTCCGGTGCGATGTAGTGTGCTTGACTGTCAAGAGAGCTTTGTGGAAGAGTCTGGAAGAGCCGCATTGTGATCCTTATTAACCCATCATGGTTGGTTCATTTGCAATTTATATTACAGGAACAACGGGAACGTGAACACGTATGTGTGTATCAGTCTCTCAGGAAAATATAGCTTTTTAAAAACTTTGGGCCACATTTCAGTCTTGTTTTAACTGAAAGAATATGATCACCTTGACTAATCACTGCTTTCACAGAAGGCAGTTAGCTGGAAAAAAAAGAAGAAGTAAAGTTAGCTGATGCAGTTTTAAAGGATCACTAAGGCCCCTGAAGGGCATTCCGCACAATGCCGTCTTCAAACCAGTACTGTCAAGGCCGAAGTCATGCGAAGGCACACTTACTGGACTCCTCGTAGTTTTAGGTACGTGCAGTTACATTCTCTCACAGTACAACTATGGGCTTTAGAAGCCCCATGTTGGCTACAAACATTACACGCAGTTATCAGAGGGTTAACCATCCGGGTTAAACATCATGCCATAGAGTAGTAACTCATCCTGGTATAAATTTGACTTGGGGTTTAACAGTTAGCAGCTTCCAGCAGCTGAAGGGCAGCAGGCGCCCAGGCCAGGTTTTTACTTGTCTGTCGGACCCTACGTCACGTTTTGTCTAGCACATGGGGACGCACACACTGTTACATAAACGCATGCAGAGGTATTCTGTACAGCTTGTTTATTAAGAGATCTCAAAACTGCATAATTCAAGTCCATGTTCTGCGACAGGCTTGCTTAGGTTAAAGCTGTCATTACGTAAGTCTTTTAAATCCACTCTATCTAAAGGGTTTAGTCAGGAGGTTCCACTTTCATTCAAATCTCCTTTAGCCACTTTTAACCAAACTATTTTACATTTTGCAAAAGCACAAGAATTTTCACAGCACACCATCAGCATTCCTCAGCAAAGGCAACATTAAATCCTCACAAAGTAAACATCTCACAGCACCGCAGAGAAAGCCACTTTCAAAGCACTTCATTAGACTTATGAAGCTTGTATGGTTTCAATTCTTCAAGTTGGAAAGAGGAGAAGAGAGGGATGAAGGGAAAAAGGCCCCTCATGCTATGTTCACAAACTAGTATATGGTTGTAGGAACTTAAAACCCATGGCAAATTCTCCTTCTCTGAATAAGGCTTCTTGGGAGTGAACACAAATACAGAACTAGCCCTATATTATTTCTACGTCTTTCACTCCTAAGGTAAGAAACTGTCATTTTAACTGTATCGTATAGCCAATAAAGAATCTGAACATAGCATTTCACTTTTATACACAACATGGGAATTTCAGTTAGAAACTTTTCTGAAAAATGTTTAAATGTGTACTAATTAAAAACAACTTTGTAAAATTTCAAAGCTGGTCAAAAATAAGAGAAGCCCAAGTTCAAACCACATGCACTACATGGAAGTACTGAAATAACTCATTCTTCATTTTTTGATTTACCCCATTTATTTCTTCAGAAATCAAAAACATCGCCATCATCATCACCACCATCAACATCATCAAAGGACCAATCCCAGTCTTTAAATGCCACATCGAGCAATCTGCAACAGGAGGTTTGCAGGTTTATACTCCAAACTCTTCAGAAACTAGCGTAATGCCGTGACCCAGAACCACACTTCCAATGTGCTGTAAGCATTTCAATTTAGCTTCCTTGGTAACAACATGATTAAAATTCAGAAGGAAGCACACATATTTGAGCTTTTTTATATAACTTTTCATAAACCTTTCCCTTTACAGGTAAATGCATAACACGCTGGTCAGGCACACTCTCCAGAATAGTCGAGAACAGAAGAAGGGATATTTGGGATGGTAAGACACAAACTGGGCCAGCCAGTGGTATGGAGGTTAAGGTACTGGATTCTCACATCGTCAATGGTGGTTCAAATCCTGGACCCTAGCTGCTTAAATATCAGTCTGGGCACATATGTGTGCATGCCCAAAATCCCAAGAGGAGACTAGAGAAGGGATTGTGTGTGGCTATCACCCTGGAGGATGATTTCTCACTTTCCCTCTTTCTGTCTCTCTCTGGTCTATGTGCCCTATGTCAAAAAAAAAAAAAAAAAAAGTACCTAAGTTTTCCTAAGCCACAGTATGAAAAAGTTTGAGGAAAACAGTAAGGAGACAGCTCCCTCCATTCCGGCAGCACTGTATATCCAACAGTCCTGCTCTGCCTGTGACAGACCGCAGACAAGGGAAAAGCCGCAGGTATATAGGTGGCATTAGCAAACTCCCTCCGGCTAAGGAAAAGGAACCCAGAGCCAGGGTGTATGTGCTCTTGGCAATCATCTTGCTTTTTAAAAATAGCAGCAACTTCCCATTGTTTATGACCATGATCTTCATGAATCAACTTGTGCCAAGAAACTCATCAGGTCCCCTAAGTCACCTGTGATCACTGAGTCACTAGCTCTTACACTCAAGTGTGTGCGACTGATCTAACTTCTTTATAATGCATATCCCTGGACCTCACCCCAAGGAATCTGATAGGACCCAACTGAAGAGGGGTTGCAAATATTTGCATTTCAAATTAGAAACCTGAAGTGATTCTGACAGAGCTGATGACAGAGTAGGTTACCCTAACTCAGAAGTAAACAAACCAACTATTGGGTTGTTGCATTTTGGTTGTGTTTTGCATAGGAAAAAAAATGTCATGATTTTTTGACGACGCAACCGAATCCCTCTCTTGCAAAATGTGGTGAACGAAGGGTAAGCTGGTGTGAGAAAACACCCAGCCTTAGATATTCATTAAGCACCACAGCTGAGTATCCACTTGTATTTCTAGGCTTAAATATGAAGGAGCTTTCAGCTCTGCATTTAGTTCTACTGCTGGGGAGATGGCGATCCCTCGGCCTTCCGGGTGTCCAAGCTCCGGGGCAAGCACACTTTAGGAAAACTCTGTACTTCCCACCGTCCCCAAGCCTCCAAGGTATGTGCCAGTGTCACAATCTCCAGGCAAACAGAGCGACGCACCACAACTCCCCTTCCCACCTCACCCTTTCCCTTCCAATCAGTCCCCTAATCCAGGCTACTTCAATGTAAGAAACCTTTCGATTGTAGGTTTCCCCTCATTCTCACCAGGGGTTAGCGCTCAGCTTGGGACCTCCCTGCGCCTGGGCTTGCCGAGTCCTTACTGAAAGGCGTCTGTGCGGAGGAGACCGGAGTCCCCCAACCAGTGCACAGGTGTCTCTCACCCAGGTCGCCCACCACTCCCTGCCATCGCCCCCCCAGACCAACCCCGTACTGTAAATGTGTAATTCCAATAGCTGAGAATCTGCCGTGACACTTGGCCTGGAAATGTTTCCCGACCCTCCCGTTTTTAAGGCCCTCTTGATGCTCTCAGGCAGGAGTCTCCCTGCTTTCACCTCCCATGAGCCCCTGTTCATGCCCCTGTCCCAAGCACATTTTACACTGTCTATTTGCTTGTCTGTCTCCTCTGTTAACTGATCAAAAGGGACACACTTCAGGCCTGTGAAACTGGCAAAATGTGCTTCAGAAAGGCTGGGCCAACTGAGCTCTACCCAAAGGGCATGAGTGGTCCATGTCTTCACATCTTGCCAGTACGAAGTTCCTTAGTCCTTTCCGTTTGGCAAGTAAGAAAAACTTTTAATGTATGATTTCCATGTGACGCTTCTTCACTGCGGAGAGCATGTACACTTCCCAGAGACAGACAGACAGAGAGACAGAGACAGAGAGAGAGAGAGAGAAAGTACCCCTTACGGGGGCATGATCATGCCACTACCCTTCCCCTCCATTTCTTTAACCTATCAGGATTTGGGCACACACGCACATGTATGTGACTCGTTTCGTTTTTCAAACTGCCAGAGCTGGGATTCAAACCACGTGGGCTCTGGCTCCCTAAGTACAGCACTTAACTGCTGTACTACCGATCTGGCCCTTACAGTTGATTTTGATGTTCGTCTTTCTTTTAATCGTAAGAGAGAGAGTACTCCGTAACTTACTGTTACTATGACAAAACTAAAAAACAAACAAACAAAAAACAGTGAAGAATGATTCAAAGGGCAAGGCCACAAGTTAAAGGGAAAAAAAGCAACACAAAATTTACCAAATTTACCAAAAGTAAATTCACTGTCAAATAGGCCGTCATGAGGATTTGGGGTAGGGGCAAGAAGAGTATTACCTATCAGTGACCATGAAAAAGGAGGGGTATGTAACTGCACCATAAACTAATTCTTTAAGTTACCACATGCAGTGAAATCATTAACTTGTCAAATAGCGCACAGGAAAAAGTGTCTCAAAGGCCAGATCTTAATAAACGAGCTGCCCTCAAGCGTCTGGATCAGAGCATGGTCACAATACAGCAGTCCCCTCCTGGGGTCTCAGTTATCTGCTGTCACTCGAGGTCTGAAAATATTACAAGAAACATGCCAGAAATAAATACTTCATAAGCTTTAAATAACTTTATAATAACATGCTGTTACAACTGTCCTGTTTTATTATTAATTATTATGGTTTATCTATTACTGGGCCTGATTTGTAAATCAAATTTTATCACAGGTATGCATGTGTAGGGTTTTTGTAGGGAAAATAAACTTTCATGCAGGGTTTGGCACTAACTGTGGTTTCAGGCATTGACTGGGGGTCTTGGGACGTATCCCCACAAATCTGTACCTGTCCTAGTCCACAGGACTACTTAAAAATCAAATGAGAGAGCAATATGTAAGACAAGAACTCTGACTGCTGAAAAGCACCATGTATTACATTAAAATAGCACATACGCATGAACAGCTCCGGAGTATCGGTAATAGAAATCGAGTTGTAAAATTTTACGGTGGACACCTGGACTGGCTGGCCTTCAGTGTCTGTGTACTTCTATGTGTGCCGATAGCTTACTATCACACTATCACTCATTTTATCACACCTCACATAGAACAGTCAACAGTTTCACTGCTGAAACACCAATTTTACCTTTGTCATTCTAACTGATCTCCCTGAGCCTTAGTGTTAAGGATTCACATAAAAACATTTGGGGTTCAAAGTGCCTCGCTGATGCTCCCACGTCAGGGAATCGGACACCCGATCTACACGCACACCTTGTCCTGTAGCTTAAGAAACCCTCATGTTCACATCACCTCCCATGAATAACACACCTTAGCCGGGCTGGAGGAAGCCGAGCAATGGCTGTTCTTAGTGACTGCATGCCTTCAATGTGGCCGTGTGAAAGGGCGCCATCACTCGTTTTAGTGCATAAAGATCTTCCCTGACCTCACTACTATTCCAGCCTCCGCCTCAATTCTCAGGGATGCCTGTTCTACCCACTAGTTAATAATTTTTTAAAATAATTAATTAATTAATTATTACTATTCAATTTGACCAGAGAGAGAGGAAGGGAGAGTGAGAAGGCAAACTATTGGTCTGGGACCAGAACCATAGTCAGCCAGGTGGGAGTCCAGCACTTTAACCACCATGCCACCTGCCAGCCCCCCATTAGTTAATATTTTCATTTTTAAAGCCGATCTACGTTGCTCTTTAAATCACAAACACATTACTGTTTTAAATCTATGGATTTAAATTAAGACTCAAGCAGATTTCTAGCCTGCCTTCTGAGTTACCTAACATAAAAGAAGTCTGCAGTATGAAATACAGTGTGTGCACCTGACACTGTCCTAGTCAGTGTGCTTGTAAAGCTGGGAGCTGTGACTATGCACATGACCATGACAAAATGAACCGTATGGTTTTCATCTCATCTCATGTACATGTGGCACTTGGTAAATAAATCTATTCCTTCCATCCAGGTCGGTGGATGAGACAAGCATTTTCAACGGTGCCAAACATTTGGTATCCACGCTTCACTGAATACCAAGCAAAGGAAAGCTGAGTAAGACAACCTGTACTTTGAATGTGAACAACGAATATTTAAAACATTCATTTTTGCCAGATGTTTATTTATTACCTTGGCTTGTTTGGGGCGAGCTGCCGACTCGGCCGTCTGATAGACTGGTTTTGTTGTATCTTCATCGAGGTTCTAGGAGATGACCTTGCGAAAGGGTCTGGAGCAGGGGGCTTTTTAGGTATCTTTTTCACCAACCGACTCACCCACTTTTGCTGCTCTTCTGTAGAATTTGCTAACAATAATAGATTCTTTGCCGTTGAAATATCATAATACACTATAAAAAACAGAAAAAAATTAATGTGCTTAAAATGACTTACACATAAATAAACTGCCAGGACAAGTGAGTCGCCACGTACCTTTGCAAGGCGCTATGATCTCTTCCTTTTTGTCCATGTGGTCTTTATGACATTTAATATGGCAGCGACGACACTCTAAAGCCGGGGGTGGCTTAAACATGTGCCACAGAGGTTTCATACAAGCCTCGCAGTTGGTCGGGAAATGATAAAGAGTAGGAATAAACTCATGCCCTTTGTGGCAAATATAATTAGACTTTTCTCCCACGGGCTCCACTGGAAATTCTTGCTCCTTCTTACTTTCTCCTTCATTGGCATATAGAATCTATAAATACCAAAGGAACAAGGAATGAAACCAAACCTAAGGTATTTTTATGAAGTTGAATTTTGATAGAGTAAATAAAATTAGCATCAATTACTCAGTGACAAGAACACGTGTGTAATGTTCAAACCCAAGCAGGTTCCGCCTCGTGAAGGGCTCCCGTGAGAAGCATGGGCAGCTACTCTGGCTCCCACGTCAGCGTAATCTGTCCTGCTCAGACGGCGCCCCGTCGCTCGCCCTATTGTCCCTTACTATGCTTTGTTAACACTATCAAAACGGGCCAGCAAATGTAAATTTATACTTCTTAGGTGTCAGAAAGTTTTTTTGGGAGGGGCTGTTGAAAACAATCACCTGAAGAAAATGAGGTAATTATTCTTGTTGTTTCTTGTTTTATAATTCCTTTTTTTAAATATTATTTTTTCCCATGGGGCATAGTCAACTCCACAAGCCCTTCTCTGCTTCTCCCTCCCCTTGGGACCCTGGGCCTGCACGTGCACACAAGTGCCTGGTGTGTCTTCTCTTAAGCCTGAGGGTCCTGGGCTCCAACGGCAGGCTGGCCATGTGGGATCCAGCTGCTTTAACCACCAGGACATGGGCTGGCCTATTTTACAATTCTTAAGAATAGAAAATTGGGTGATAGCCGTTAAATACAAGTCCACTTTAAAAGATCTGCATTTGGAGAATAGAGGGAGAAAGGAAAAGAAGAAAGGATGTGTAATACATTTAAAATAAGAGGCCTGAAACTCACACTAGGCACATGTGTGCGCATGCCCAAAATCCCAGGATGAGAATGGAAGAGAAGAGTCTGCAGAGTGGCCATCCCACTCTGGGTGAGTGGGGTGATTCCTCACTTTCTCACTGTCTCTTTCTGTTGAAAGCATACACTCTATGGCAAAAATCTTAAAAAAAAAAAAATCCTAAATAAACATTATAAGCACTCAGAAAACAAAGAGGCCAATTGCCCTACAGTATACCAAGCACAAAGGTTTGGAAGAAACTCAGTAACTCGTCGTTCCTTTGACTAATTTTAAAACGAAAGTTTAATAAAGGGAAGAATGTGTCTTCACTTTAAATTAGAAGTAAAAGGGGTAAAACATTTAACTTCATAAGCAACTTTTAACATTCTAGAGAGCTGAGCATAAAACCAACAATAGGAAAGAGTTCATAACCAACAATTCAAAGGATAGCAAAGACTAGGGACAGACTTCAAAAAGTAAAACAGAGGGGCCAGTAGTTAGCGTAATGGCTATGTCGCTGGGCTCCCATGTAGCCGACCACGGTTCGAGTCTCGGACCTGGTGGCTTAAACTCACGCCGGGCATGTGTGCGTGCACGCTCAAGATCCTGAGAGAACGGAGGAGAAGAGATTGCGGTGTGGCCATTCCCCCTGGGGGCGAGGGTGATTTCTTGCTTTCTATCTCTCTGTCTTTTTGGCGAGTGCACACGCCCTATAGCAAAAACCTCTCCCAAAAATGAATGAATGAATGAATGAATGAAGAAAGAAAGAAAGAAAGTAAAATAGAGAGAGGAATGAAAATGCACCAAACAGAGTAAGCACAAGAGAACAAACCATCTTGAAATGGAACTGAAACAGAAAGTAATCTGATAAAGGCCAAAGAGTAAAGAAATTTAGATTGCCATGTCATATGAGAACCTCTAAAGGTGAAAAAAATAAAGTAAAATAACCTGACAAAAGAAAACTACACTTACCTGGAATATCCTTGGGATTTCTTTAGCATCTGCTCTATACACATCTGTCTGTGTGACGGGCCGCACGTGAAATAACTTGCTATAAAGATTTTAATGAAAGAAAAAGTCTTACCCAAGGATCGAATTACATGAGTAAATCTACACTTATGTCAGAAGTTAAAAATCGATACTTTGACCCATGTTAGGTGCTCAAGAGTACATTTATTAACTTAATAATTACTGAAGATTTTGAGAAATCTTCTATATGTCTGAAATTTTCTGGTTAGTTTCACTAACCCACTTTCATCTACATGCACCAAGTTACAAGAAATGTGACAGTAACACAGGATGCTGTGCTGTTAGTGCTCATGTGGCTGACAGAGTGCATACAGTCCCTAAATATTCTAAAAACATACTTACTCTATATCCAGGACCATGTAAGGATTAGACTGCTCTTTGTCTTGTTCGCTGTCATAGAAAAGAATCTTCTTACTGCTCACAATCACATACTGTTAAGAGATTGGGAGGGAAGGAATCAAACAGTAGCTACAGTTATTATACACTTGATTTATTGGCTCTCTTTGAAAATAAATTCTGTGTTACCAATGAAAACTTTAAAACATTCAGCTTAAGTGTCTTACTAGGCTTTAGCAACTTTAAGAAACTCTTCCTTAAAATAGCAATAAATCGGGCCAGCCAGTGGCATGGTAGTTTAGGCAGCTGTATCCCACTTGAACTTAATGGTTCAAGTCCCAGACCCAGCAGCTTGAAAAACATGTGGACAAGTGTGCATGTGTGCCCAAAACCCCAAGAGGAGACTAGAAGAGAAGGGACTGCAGTGTGGCTATACCTGGGGGGGAGGTTTCTTACTTTCCCACCCACCTCTGTCTCTCTCCCCAGAGCACACGTGCCCTATAGCAAAACGACAAACCAGACCAATACATCTTGTTTGGAAAGCTATTTTAAATAGGTAACTCAGGGGGGTAAGGGCAAATATGTTTTGGATTTATATAGTGTTGGGTTCCAATATTATTAACCTTATCAAAAATGAGCAACATTGATAGTTAAAGAGGAAGAGAGATAAACAGGTCTTTCAGTCATAACCAGAGTTGTTTTCCCATTGAAGTAGCCAAAGCAGCAAGGTCAAGAGGCTTATATTTTCCTAATAACAAATTATTAATAACATCTGAAGGCTAAAAAAATTTATAAAAATAAATACATTTTAACACTTCAAATCAGAAAGTATAAATAAATTTTGTGCCTAAGAGTTCTAGTTATATACCTTCCACAAAAGTTAAATGGCTGGAATTAAACCCAAAGCAAAAATAAAATAAAATAAAATAAAAGATATATTCAAAAGGACCAGTTACCTTTTTAACCCATCCAAATTTCTTAGTGTTGTTTCGCACAGGCAGTGAAAGCCATCCTTCTAGTCTTGATTCTGTAAGCAATCACCAGACATGGGGTGAACACGACTGTAATGACTCTCCTTAGACGATGAGAAATCAAATACAACTTAAGTCTGACACCACAGAACAAATCAAACGCGCCCTTTCAAGTTCACCGCTGCATGTTATCTAGGGCGTAACAGTAATGCAGGTTCAGGAAATGCAAGCTATACGAAGCAAAACAAAAATTCAGGTTGCATGACACTGGAAATAGATATTTCCTAATTCTATAATCAAATGTCCCATTGAGGAAATTCATGCATTTGTAAAACTTGGGAAAAAAGCTGCCCCCCGAAAAGCAAGCAGCTGTCTATCTGCATCAATATGCCTGCATTAGAGTCCTTTATTTTTCCTTTGGAAGAAGGCCTAACTATTGATTAGTGCCCATTTTCAAGAAGAAAACATTTTAAATGAATAACTGGCATGTTCAGAGGAAACAGACTTTTAGACAGCTATACTATATTAAGTAATTAAATGAAATAATAAAGTGAGATAAAGTCTAAGTTACAGACAAATTTGGTTAACAAGCAGCAATGTAACCAAAAGATTTCTAAACTCCAAAATACCAAAACCAACAAAATTTTAACTCCACAAGGTAAAGTGTCTAAATTCTTGGTTCTAATGACAGCTGATCACTACCTCTTCATCAAATAGCATCTGGGAGGTTCTAACAGTAGAAGTGGTCACCACTTGTTTTGTATTCACTGTGTGAAAACTCTGCTAGATATTTGACATAAATTCTCCTAACCCACTTGACAACCCACAGAACATGGATTATACCCCTAATTTAGACAAAGAAAGTGAAGTCTTGAAAGATCACACATAATTGCCTTTTTAAGTGAAAAAACTGGTTTCTTCATTTAAACTATAAGCCCTTTCAGAAAAAGGATCAGGCCCGACTATCCATGCTGTCTCTCACGGCCTCGCGCACTGTCAGTGAGTTAAGCACTCCAGGGACACCTGGACACCCTCCGAAGCAGTCTACACAGGGAGACCACTACTCGCCAGCAATCTGGTGGACTGTCCCCTTCCTTGTTAGGTGGCAAAATAACCGACCTGTTCATTACAGCAGCAGGGTCACGTCAAACTACCTGAAAGCCGATTCTTCGTTCATGCAGCGGTTTGTTTTTAATCGAGTCGAGAGCAACGTGCTAAGAGTTAGCGAATGTTAGTTAATGCTATAACGTTTTTCAAAAGGACTAAAGTTAAGGGTAGTAGAAAAAGCTTCAAAGATGAGAAGACTTCCAGGCTATCACCTGCACCACTGGGTTCTGATGAAATGGGTAAGGAAGGCAAAGATTCTTCTTCTGAGTCAGAATCAGAGGCAAGGAGCATGTGAGGGCTGGAGGGCTCAGTGGCGATACTGAGAGAAGTGGAGGAACGCTGGTAGCTGAAGGACATGGACTCCACAGTGTGTGACTGAGTGACACGAACTACACACCCGACATACAAGGGAGCAAGAGTGCAGAAAGAAGAGAAGGTAAAATGAATGCTTAAGAAGAGAGCTACTGTGGATTTGAGTTGATTTAAGTAACTAACCACGTGGAGTTTTCTTCTGCAGATTCTTTTACAAAAACTTTGTCAAAAAAAACAATAAACAAAGCTTAAAATGTTACTTGAACCCCCCACTCTAGGGAGTAGATTTTTTCTTAAAGAAAAGACAAACATTTGTGCTCAAGAGCAAAGTCCGTCACAAGACCTACATCAGTCAGCTGACTGACGCTTACGACGAACGTGAGAGCGGAAAGCAGGTCTGTACCTGGAAAGCTGTCATCTGCCTCGGCGTCCCCCGGCCCGCTGCCGATACTGGAACTGTCCAGACCGATGTGCAGGGCCTGCAGCTGCGACCGCAGCTGCTCGATGTCACTGTCCTTGCTGTCCAGCGTCATCTGCAGCTCAATTCGAATCTGGCTCTCTTCAGCTATTTGCTACAAGAAATCAAATTAAGTTGATCAGATGTCATGTGTACCCTAACTTCCTTTTGGTCCAGTAACAGTTACGAAGTAATGGAAATGTTCCAAAACCAGTGAGAGAAAATCAACACGAGAAGAATCAGAAACGAGCCTCCAGTCTAGCTCCAAGGGTGTCTTACCGCCTGCATTTCATTCAGCTCTTTCTGATACTTGATCATCTGCTGGGTCAGCTTTTCCCGCTCAGACTTCAGCTCCATGTGTAGCTTCCTATTCTCCTTCTCTTTTCTCCGCATATCCGTGTCGCTGCCGCGCTTGACAGGTTCTTTACGATTCATGATCTCAGCCAACTTGTTCACAGCCTTGAAAACGTAACGGTCAGTGCATGAGTCATACTGACGGCGTCCCGGTATCTCACCAAGAGCAAGCTACACCAGCATTAGTCACTTCTTTCTGCACGTGACTTAAGCAATATGCCTCCTTTATTATTCATCATCCTTCTCCATCCTGCTCAGATTTTTCATTCTCATGTTTTCCAAAGACTCTAACTTAAAATATTTCTAGACGTGATCTGATGTCACTTTCTACCACTCAGACTTTTTAGTTCCAATCGAAGACGTATAATAGGCAAATTGTGCTTCTTTTATTCTGAAGGGAGAGGACTCTGCACTGGCGTCGCGTTAACACACACCACGTCCAACAACGGAGGGCAGCACTTGCTCCCACTCCATTCGTGCTATACTGTCACCGTGGAGCCAGCAGAGCGCGGACCAATAGTCATTAACTGACCCCTGCAGGCTGTCAGCAAATGGCCATTCCCTACAGTTCCTCAAAAGCAGAAAAACGGGGAACCAGCAGTTAGCGTAATGGCTATGTCGCTGGACTCCCATGTAGTCGACCATGGTTCGCGTCCCAGACCCAGTGGCTTAGAACTCACGCCGGGCGCGTGTGCGTGCGTGCCCAAGATCCCGAGAGGAGAATGGAGGAGAAGGGATTGTGGCGTGGCCATCCCCCCTGGGGGGCGATTTCTCGCTTTCTGTCTCTCTGTCTCTGTCTGTCTGGCGAGCGCACACACCCTATAGCAAAAACCTCTCCAAAAAAAAAAAGAAAGCAGAAAAATGTACTAGATTATAATAAGAAACTGGGTGAGAATAAACTCACGCCGGGCGCGTGTGTGTGCATGCCCAAGATCCTGAGAGGAGAATGGAGAAGGGATTGTAGCGTGCCCATCCCCCCTGGGGGGCGATTTCTCTCTTTCTGTCTCTCTGTCTCTGTCTGTCTGGCGAGCGCACACACCCTATAGCAAAAACCTCTCCAAAAAAAAAAAGAAAGCAGAAAAATGTACTAGATTATAATAAGAAACTGGGTGAGAATATGATTCTATATGGAAAAATTAAGAAAAATTTCCATAGGGATCAGATCAGACCATGTTAATCAAATCTAGCTTCTCCCAACCTGGTGAAAATCACATGATTTCGACTATTCATAAATACCAATGCATTTGATGATGAAGGCTTCTAATTTGTAATGCTAGAAGAAACAAGCTAAAACAAAATTAAATATTACACTTACCAGCCAGCAGTGGTGTGGTGGTTAAGACAGCTCAATCCCACATGGCAAACTATGCAGTTCAAGTCCCAGACCCAGAGGCTGGAAAAACACGCCGGGTATATGTGCACGTGTGCCCAAAATCCCAAAAGGAGAATGGAGGACGGTGGTATGGCTATTCCCCGGGGGTGCTTACTCACCGTCTCTCTGTCTCTCTGGCAAGTGCACACATCCTATTGCCAAAAATTTAAAAGAAAATACAACACGCTGATTCTATTACACGTACTTGAGTTTTGAGTGTTCTCTCGTTTAGCAGCTGTTTCTCGAATTGTGCTTTAACAGCTGCTATGCTTATCTCTTCATCTTTCAACCTTGATAGTTCTGAAACACGGAAAATAAAACATGATATTGGAAACCACAGTAAATGATAAACATTAGGTATATTAAGAATAAACGTTACTCTTTGTTAATACATACGTTCTTGAGCGTCTTTCAGTTTGTTGTTTAATTCTTCTTTCTCATTAGCAAGATTGGCAACATCACTAGTTAGTGTCCTATTAGTTTCTTCAAGCTAAGAAATGGAAAGTAGGGAAGAAAACCTCTTATCAGTTTACAAAATCTGGGTTATTTTTATACCTAGAATTGAAAGCATTTAGAACACTGCCACACCTGTTGTCTTTCTGCGTATGTCCACTCCTATACTTTGTCTTTATGCTCCTTTACAAAACCTCACTCTTCCTGAAAATTTTGGTAACTCTGAGTCTTTCTATGTACCCCAGGAAGCCAAAATCTGCCCTTCTCTCATACAGCCTTGTTTTACATAAGCATTTAATAAACAAAAAGAAGAAATCCAAAAACCCTGCATTCCCATCAAGCAGAGTAAGCAAATTCAACAAGTGTCGTATTCCTTTCAGAATATTATTTTAAAAAGAAAAATAAAATTTTACTGAAGCCAATATCTGTTTACAGGCCTTACAAATTCCATTCCTATTTTTCCTCCCGGAAGGAAGTTTTATTACGAATTACGTACTCATCGTTCCCATCCATGATTCTGTACAGATGAAACAATGTATTCGGTGATCGGAAAAGTCTTGAGGAATTTTTTCTATGCAAAAATGCCACATGACTTTTCTGACAACCCAATATAGTGTAGTTTTATGTGATTCTAAATCGTGCTGTATTATCTTTCTGCAACTGTTTTCCTGACACCCTATTAAAGAACTAAGTTCCTGAGGTACATGACTAAGGGAACCCACTCACTGATGGCAGCAGTTCTGCTTTCAACCACAGTGAGTGTACCCACAGTCGCCTGTCCACTAATAAGACTTGTGAGTTCTCGCGACAGTAAACACTCAGGCTGCTTTCTAAGCACTGTGTCTGAGTCGAGAGACTGTATTTTCCTTACCGTGAAGCTTCTTGGGCTGTGTTACATAAGTATTTAAAATGCACCGGAAACTGTCACAGCATTTACAGACTGCGCTGCATCACTCTAAGTGTCACACCATTTACAGACTGCACTGCATCACCCTAACTGTCACAGCATTTACAGACTGCGCTGCATCACCCTAACTGTCACACCATTTACAGACTGCGCTGCATCACTCTAACTGTCACACCATTTACAGACTGCGCTGCATCACCCTAACTGTCACACCATTTACAGACTGCGCTGCATCACTCTAACTGTCACACCATTTACAGACTGCGCTGCATCACCCTAACTGTCCTACCATTTACAGACTGCACTGCATCTAACTGTCACACCATTTACAGACTGCGCTGCATCACCCTAACTGTCATACCATTTACAGACTGCGCTGCATCACCCTAACTGTCATACCATTTACAGACTGCGCTGCATCACCCTAACTGTCACACCATTTACAGACTGCGCTGCATCACTCTAACTGTCACACCATTTACCAGGCTGCGCTGCATCACCCTGTCACACCATTTACAGACTGCGCTGCATCCCCCTAACTGTCACACCATTTACAGACTGCGCTGCATCACCCTAACTGTCACACCATTTACAGACTGCGCTGCATCACCCTAACTGTCACACCATTTATAGACTGCACTGCATCACTCTAAGTGTCACACCATTTACAGACTGCGCTGCATCACTCTAACTGTCACACCATTTACAGACTGCACTGCATCACTCTAACTGTCACACCATTTACCAGGCTGCGCTGCATCACCCTGTCACACCATTTACAGACTGCGCTGCATCCCCCTAACTGTCACACCATTTACAGACTGCGCTGCATCACTCTAAGTGTCACACTATTTACGGACTGCGCTGCATCACTCTGTCACACCATTTACAGGCTGCACTGCATCACTCTAAGTGTACTCCCCGCAGGAGTAAGAACGATGCTTTCCAGACATCCTTCCAGCACATGAAACCGCTAGGCACAGAGCGTGTGCCAACGTGGTGGGCGTAAAATGGCATCTCAATGTTGTTCTATTTAGTCTTTTCCTGAAGGGTAATGAGGTTAAGCATCTGCTCATATACTTACGTTTTCTCTTTTGGCCAATTTTTCTTTTGAATTATTTAACTTTTCCTTATTGACCTGTAAGAGTTCCACAACTACTCTAGATACTCATCCCTTATCTAATATACGTATTACAAATATCTTGTCCTTGTTATTTTTTATGTTGTTTTCTATCATATACAAGTTTTAGATTCTGTCCTAGTAGTTTGAATTTTGTACTTTTCATATTAGGGCCTTACGACAGCTAGGAGTTACTTTTATAACGCTATGGGTAATGATCTACTTTTATTCTTTCCACATAAACAGAGCTATTTCCAAGCCATTTATGAAATCTGTCTCCTTTCCCACTGATTTATACAATGCTACTTGGATCTTATACCAAGTTGCCATGTTTATGAGAATCTATTTCTGGCCTCTATATTTATTTCTGTGGATTGGGATTTAATATCCTTGTTTAATACCCCTCTTCTAAACTACTGTAGCATTTCGACAGGTCTGGATGATTGACAGAGAACTCAATTACTTGACATTTCACTTCTTGCAATGTCAGTTGCAATTTCTTTTCCAACCTGCATAGAACTGTTTTCAAGGTAGTTTCAATAGTCTTTTGAACTATGCTGTTTCAAAAGAAAGATTAAAAAGCTTAAAGTTGTTTGGTTTCCTCCCTTTCACCTCAGTCCTTCAGCTGTGAGTTTACCGACAGGTGGTCACTGGAAGCAGTTCTTAGTGAGCCACGCTGCCCAACGACTGCGAAGCGTGGGCAGCTGGGGTGAACACCCTGCAGCCAGCACGCGCATCCACTCAGATCTAGCACATGGCCCTCGCGCTGCAAGAAGCACCGCAATTGACTGCAGCCCGAACAGTCCCGAGAGCCCTACTCACGGATGCAATGGTGGCGTCCTTTTCCGTAAGCTCCTGCTTGTGTCTAGCCATCATCTCTTTGATCTCCAGCTCTTTCATGATCTTCTCTTTTTCCAGATCGGAATATTGTTCCTCGGCGATGGAACGGGCCAGCTGCTCTGAATCGGCTTTGGTCAAGGTGATCTCCAGCTGGGCAGCCAAGGAGTCCCTGAGTTTCGGAGAGAGTACTGCTGTGACAGCTGCCAC